CCGACGATTGCAGGAGATGCTGTCATTATGGCTGAGGAGAGGAAGGGCAACTTGGAACGGATTAGCTGCAGCACTTGATAACATTGAAGAATATAAAGCAGCTAGTAAGCAGAAGGAGGGGATTTATTCATTTATATTATAATACATTGTATACATGTACTTATGTTGCATAGAAAGTTTGAACTGATTCCAATCAAGTGCTGACATGACACTTCAATTATTTTTTTATTTTTAGAAGTTGTGAAGGCTAAAGTTATGAATGACAGACACGAACTCTAACTTTTATACTTTTATAATAATTAATTTTTTTATTAAAAACGAGTAACCATAAGTGTTGAAGTTTGAATGATTATTGGAGGGAATTAAATTTGGCAAACTGCTAAATTTTAGTGATTGGCGAAATGAAATTTGTATAGCCACATGTCTTGCATTTTTTAAAGTAACAATTTCTATTTTAACCCTTTCATCACTCCATGGTTATCATAATAAGTGATTAGAATAAAATAGAACATTATCCTCAACAAACAAACAAACAAATTAAAATCAAAACACAATAAAATAATAACAACAATAATAAATTAAAAATCAGTAATTATTTCAATAAATATAATAATTATTAATGCTAACTAAGAAGATGATCTGGACTTAAACTGTTTCTCTTTTTAAGTTCCGAAATGACACTGTGGTCTAGAGTACCAACCTTACTTGGGGAGACCACACCTCTTGGAATAACAGGCTGAGGAATAGAAAAATAATAACCATTAATAACTATTTATTAATATAACCATTATTAATAACTATTAATAACTACCTGTGGATTATAACTGACTGATAAATTCATTCCGTGAGTGGGCGACGTGTGAGGAGAAGACTGCGTTGGATTCTAATCAATTAATAAATATAATATTAATTAGGGGGTGTGGCTAGCTCCACCCACTCACCAATATACTAATTCCTCTGTTTCTACTGTCGAAATGAGTAGGTGTGGTTTTTACCGGCATCAGTGGAGTTTGAATACCATCTGGAAACTAAAAATAAAAAAATGTAATAAAAATGGAAAATTATCTCCTTTTCATTTTTGGAGAAATTTTAGCCACACCCACTTTAGCAAATATGATAGCAGCCAGGAGGAGTAGTCTATCGTCTGCTGAGTCAGCACAGAGGAACTTGTTCTGTTCCTCAAACCGAACCAGCAGACAGAACGGGTATCGAGTTGGCAGAGGGTTCCGAACGTCAATTCTCTTTTGTTCAATTCCAACGAACACATCTAAATCTGATAGAGCCAGTCTTGCCAATTCATTATGAGCCTAAAAATAAAATAAAAATAAAATAAATTAAAAAAATAAAATAAATAAAATAATAAATAAATAATTTCCTGTACTTTTGCATCTTTATAAATGAGGAACATGTTATCCCTAACTCTACAGGGACACTTCCTCCACTTCTTCTTCTCCTGTACATGAATCGACACTGTCTGCCCTTTATAAATACCATCCTATCATTAATGAACGCATTAATAATTATTATTATCATAATAATAATTATTATTGTGCTCTTACAAAAGGCAGTAATTTATCAGCAAAGGTGTTTGGTTTTATACATAAGTAAGAATCAGGTTTCTGTACTGCTAGTACCAGCTCCAGTGAATGTAATGGACGCTCTACAGAGAT